ATTCACTTTTGATTCAGGAAATGCAGCCACATGTCTGCAGTGGCTCAAGCCAGAAGCCAGGGAGAGCTAGAGCATGTCTGCTGGCTACAGCCAAAAGGAAGGGAAGAGAATCCCTCCGAGGCTTCCCTGCCTCTTCCTGTTTCAGAGGAGGGGTGTGGGCAGGCACGAGCCGGGCTAGATTGCTGGACAGTGGAGACCCTAGCCCAGGTCTGCCTGGTCGGTACAGTGCCTACTAGGTTTCTTCCCCCAATCCTGTGCTGGGGAGGGGAGGAGCCCCTGCCGAGGTGGGGAGGGAGAAAGGTATTGGCATTGAATTCATAAAAGCCTGAACAAAAATAGTCCTGAAGCAAATATGTATTAAACACAGTACTTTGCAACCTCAAGCACAGGACAGAACAACCAAAACCCTTTGCCTAAACTAAGATACAGCCCAGGAAAACACAGTGAGAGTGCATGCGGCATAGTCTAACTTGAAATGGAATGTAATAAACCAAAAAGACATGAGAAACCTTGCATAAGTCTTACATAATCCCGAGGGCAGAGCATCTCCTTACAGCCAGGTATGCAGAAAGTCCTGCTTAGATATTCCAGTCTCCCACCTTTTACAGGTTCTGCTTTATAATGTAAATGTAGTTCTCTGCTTTCTTTGTTCATACTGGCTTAAGCTCTCTGGGACCCTCTCCTGTCCTGGGGGAGCTGAGGGGAATTATGCCCCCTCCCCTTGTCCTTGTTAGCTGCTTGCTTCAGTCTCTGGCAGAGATGGGAGGTGGTGGAGTCTGCTGGTTTTCTGCCATTTGTAAATGTAGTTCTCTGCTTCCTTTGGTCACAAAAGCAGTCCAGGACCCTTTCCTGTTCCCTTAGCTCTATCTCCAGCACATACATGTGATGATTGTGTCCAGTCTTTGCCAATGCCTCCCATCTCTCAGTCTGCTCCTGCAGGGCTTGGCGCCAGCACACTGAGCTGTGGAAGTGGGAATTAAAGCCCCTCCCATACCCCACCCAGGGTTTGCCTGGGGGGAGCAGTCCTTCTCAGGCTGTTGCCTGCCCATGCCCCACGCCCTGCTCCAGCAAAGAGCAGGCAGTGTGGGCAGCACATTGGGCTGGGGAAGTGAGAATTAAAACCCCTCTGAGGCCCCAGCACGGTCCCCAGCCAGGTTTCCCACCGCCTTGTCAGCTAGCCCTCACCGGTCTGGCTAGAGACCAGAGGAGTGGGGTCAATCCTGCCGTCGTAGCCTAGCACTGAAAAGCATGTTTGGGTGCTGGGAGGCTCTGATTTAAC